TAACACTAAATGCATTCAAAGTTGTTTTAAAAATATTATTTATTTATTGAGTCTCATCATTATTGTAATACAAAAAAGACAATTATAACAATGACAATAAAATCTTCAGTTTTTGGTCTAATCAAAAGTATACTTAACAGTCAACTGTACTGTGTGCTTTCATGATCCTAAATCATTACACTTGGAATCCAAAATAACAACATTTATCATAGTTGAAGCTACAATACAATTATTGTTTTATTAGACWAGCTTTTGTACAGTGTATGACTATAGTGCRTTCATTTYATACCTGACGCACATAATTTTCCACAAACTAGGACATAAAAAATGAAGACTCTTTAATAAAAAAGCGTGAAACATTAGTTGATACTATTCTATCTTTTTTCTGTACTTTCTTTTGCCCAACTAGCACTTTTCTTGCACAAATCCATAATATTACTCATACTGACATTTCACCCTTTTTTTCTTTTTTGAAAATGACATACATGTAGATATATTAAAATAGGGGATGGCTGCTTTACACTTGTAGGTATAAACAAGGGGTAATAAATGAAATATTATACTGTACAATGTATAAGTGTTATGCTACATAATCGAGTGGACGGTTGAACCCTCCTTTTCTGTTCATGTATTGCCTGGTATAATAGAAATATAGTCAGTGGATTTCCTGGAAAAGCAATGAAACAAATACCAACCTGTATTTCCTTGGTTTCTTWACGCTTATTGCRCTTGCATTACAGCCATCAACATGCTTGCCCTATGAATAAATTTGTATTTTGTTTAATTAGTTCTCAATTTGAAATAATAATAAAATTGTATATTATTGGTTTACTGCCAACAGCCRATAGGGGGAGAGACCTGAGAGCGAGCCTCATAACTGCTACAGGAGGAGACTACATAAATACCTTTGTAGAATCAAAACTAGCAAAACCCATAAGTTTCATCATGTCATCATCCTCTGGGTTGGTTTCTCCACCTTCCRCATCTGATCACAAAGAAAATTTGCACATCAAATATTTTGCTTTTGTTTGAATGAATTCTTAGTCCATTAGCTCAAGTCTCTTACTATTGGCGTTATCTTTGCCTTGCTTATCTTTCGATTCTTTTTGCTCTGCAGATCGTGACCTTGATCTTCTGTGCCGTCTTGGTGAATTTGATCTGGAATGAATGTGGTGTTGTTTTATTGTAGTCCTTAATTCACATACTCACATTCTGTTCAGACTCACAATGTGTCCATAGTTCAAGAAATAATCCACCCCCTACCCCTGAGGAGGGATTTGTACATTGTGAGAGGGTAAAGGGTCAAATAAAACAGCTCATTGAAGGAGGGGGGAGGGGGGGGGAGACTATTTCTGGAATTACACAATATTATTAGAGGGTCTCAATAGGGTGTGAAATGGCTGAAAAATTAGCAGTGAGTTGTGAAAATGAGGAAAAMATTAGCCGTGAGKCTTGATGCRGACCCYYCAATTGAGACCCTCTMATTATAATGCTAAAACCAACACAAAAGACTGTGTTACAGTAAATGTACCTTGATCTCCTTCTTCTTGGTGAGGGTGATCTAAGATAGTAATCCAAATGACATAAACAATTCAAGTATGACACTTATAGCTAAAATTTCAATTATATAGTTTCAAAGGACC